TTAAATTGTTACAGGTCCAGAATGCTGTGATCAGTGGAAAGACGGGGCTAGCATGTACAGATGAGCAGCGCAGGTGGAATGCTGGGACAGCAAAGAATCTTCAACCCAAACGTCTAAGCATGATAAACTTCAGACACCACAAGGCAGAGCAGCAGTATAACATCAACTCAAGGGCTGCAGACACGATTAGTCTTTATTTTCATAAGTGTTATAAGGACTTGATCTTGTACAGGCATTGTAAATTCATTGTTGTCATCTCCTTCCAGTGCTGACACAAGAGTGTTAAATGTTTCTAACGCTGTACCAGTGTACAGCAAAGCGTCTGCGTCATTTTGTAGAAGAAACAATGCAACTTCATCACACTGAGTCGTCTTGTCCTGGACATCTTTTCTGCCAGACGTGTTGCAGTATTGATGATGATCTTTTAGCGAAGGGTCCTCCCACTGTGTGTGGACTGAGTGCAGATGTGGCCCAGGAGGTTGTGTGGAGACGCTAGCCAGGTCTGGGATGACTGACGGTGAATCTACGGTGCACTCTGAATAACACAAAAATACAAAATCAAATCAGCGTAACACAACCTGTCAAGTGTCACTTACCTTATTACGTTTTAGGAAGGAAATTTGTAATTCCACACTCGTACACACATGATACATCTTAAATGTCAATAGTGCTGTTTTAGTGGGGCTTTAGCCCCCTTACATTTTCCTAAGCCCCATCAAATTATGCTATAATATCAAAATATTGTGATTAGATTTTAGTTTTTCATCCTTAAAAAAATCAGTTGGAGCTAGGTTGCATTTAAGCTTTTTCTTTAAAGAGTTTAAAAGAAGTTTTTTTTTCAGCTGTGTCTGTTTCAAATAACCTGCCTCTAATAACTCAACATATTCTTTATTAACAAAATCCCCAGACTTTTACAGCCCTGGGGGCTGAATTTTACCAGGTTGCTAAATAAAAAGCTATTCTCGGACAGTTACATGAAATCATATACATCTCTGCTAGCATGCTACTGATGTTAATTACTAACCACTTTGTCTTTAAGATTTGGATTTGGCTGCCAATCAAGTACTTTCTCTTAGTGATAAAGTATTTTGGAATTAAATTAATAATACACTAACATCCACAATAACACTGCAACCAGCTAGCGCTGATGCTAACACCATCCACAGTATAGTAATTATAACATTACAATTATAACATTAATAATAATATAATTCAGTAAAAGATAAGAGCTAAGCATGATTAAAATGTGAAGCGGGGACAAATCACATTTTCAATTTCACTCACCGGGAACAGATTCGGCCGTTTTGTCGATGTTGCTGGAAGCTGTCTGGCTCACAGTGGTCCGGATGAGCTGCCTTCTTTTCTTTGGTGGGGCCCGGTCATAGCCCAGATAGAGCTCCGGGTCGGGGTGAAGCTCTGTGGGCTTTTTATCAATAAAATGAAAGGAGCAAACATAAACTCTCTTCGGGGGGTATTTGAGTTTTAAAGCTGCCAGCCACGCTCGTTTTCGATCCTCCTTCCTCGGCATGGAGTGCAGTTCGTAACGCGCTGGGCACACACAGGCCTTTCGAAGTTGTTGATGTGCAAAACAATACGTTTCTAGCTCGTCTTTCAGTTTTCTGGAGCTGTTGTGACAGCCAACAACAGCACAAGTTGAACCCGAACTCATATTAGAATTGTTTAAGCCTCCTGCTACAGCACAAATTACTAGAATTTGTCATTAGCAAAAGTGCCTGTCATTAGCAAAAGTGCCTCTCGCTTTAGCTCACCGGAAGTATAAAACCGGGAAGGGGCGGTACCTGTCTGTCATGGCAGCCCACATACGCTCTTGCAGAATAAGGTGGATAAGAAGGCAGCAGACCAAGGAGTGATTTATAGACGAACACGTACCAGTGTGAGAGCCTAATGATGACCAACTGACCAATAAGTACAGAGTGCAGTGATGGGTACGGTAGTTACAACCAGGTATGAGTCTTAGCACGCCATGGTAGACAGCATCCAACATCTGCAAGGTACAGGCAGAGGTATTCATGTAAATAATGTCACCATAGTCAATGGTTCTGTAGCAAAATAACAGCTATAAGGTGTTTCCTGACATTCAGAGTTAAACAATATCTATTTCTGAAGAAAAAAACTGTTGTAATTTCAGTTTCTTTATTAAGTTTTCAACACGTGGCTTAAAAGAGAGATATGCATCAATTAAAATTCCCAAGTATATTTAATACTGTAATCCACAAGCTCAATGTGTATATGATGCATGGATGAGATAAGAGGAAGAGCTGCTGGCACCAACTTTCTGTTTGGAAACAACATCCCGTTGGTTTTATCAGCATTTAGCATCAGTTTGAGATGGAACGAGTCCGACTTAATGATGTCAAATGCAGACTGTAGAAGCTGGAAAACCTTGGCAACTGTATTGGCTCGACAATAAACAGTTGTATTGTCCGCATAGAGATGCAAAGAGGCTTCAGGAATGGTTTGGTCTACATTACTTATGTAAAATGTAAAAAGGATGGGTCCTAAAATTGAGCCTTGGTGCACACCATTAGTAACTGTTAATTATTAAGAATAAAATGAGTATAAAAAATAAATGAGAATAAAATGAGTTCCTACTTCCTAACATGACTGTACAATATCCTGATGCATGCTCAATAATCCTGAGTGACTACAATCTTTATTTTATAGAACATAAAAGAAACTATAAGGAAGGATGGCAATGAGATAAATCTTCAGCCTCTAAGTTGTAAAATCAATCAATAATTTTGCGTTTAAGTAGCTTTCCTTTCTTTCTTTCTTTCTCTAAAAATGCAGTATTACTTGCAGATGTTTATTTATTTATTTATTTATTTATTTTTACATCCAGTGTGGATTCTTTTATGGAATAAAACTTTCAGATTTAGAACAGGGTGGTCTCAGCTTGGAAAGATTCAACCTGTAAAAATTCACAGGAACATCTTGATGCAAACAGAGTCTCACGAACCGGCTGCTTCTGCAGACTGACAGCCGAAAATGTCTCCTTTCCACCAGAAAACATTCATCTGTGTGTGCCACTCACTTCATCCGATTCGCTCTAAATGACCTGACTTTTACTGTTTGGTTGCCACGGAAACCAGCTTGAATGTGAAATATGTGAGTGTGCGTTGCTTAGGAATTCACCTAACTGAGCTTTTAACGGAGCGAAGAGCTCGCTTTTGAGCAGTGATGCTGAAAGTCCTGGTGTTAGCGGTGATGCTGCAGAGGCGCAGATGTTAGGGCTAATAACGTCTGCACGTCTTTCTGCTGCTGATCACTGTGATGATGATGATTAGAAAGATGACGACGGGTGCATCTGGATGCCTGTCGCTGAGCTCTGCCATTTCTGCACTGAAGTGTGGAGGCTGGAGAGTGAACATGTGTGTTACACATACACACACATGTGTATATATAATGTTGAGCCTCAGCTGTGACACACAGACCTGTCTGTGGCTAAAAATGGAAAGCATGCTTGCTGTTGCTGAGAAGCCACAAGAAGGTCTATATGAGGCAAGTGCACAAGCAGGCAATTATATTTACTGACAGCCAGTGCTATATTACATGTTTCAAACACAATATAAGTGAATCTCTTACAGTACAGCGCTGTGTTATTGTAAAACAGCAACAATCAAACACCTTGATTCACTTATTCAAGTTATTTTTTTCTATTTCTCAAGCTTATGTTGAATACAAAGCAAAATATTATTCTAGAAAACCCTTAGGGAAGAGTTTATTTGTCCGAATATTGTCTGTCAATTCTAATTTACAAAAGGACAATTAGTGTACAATGCAAATTAGTTCATTTATCTTCTGTTCTTATGATGTCAGTGACGTTCTTCAGTTACAGAGCAATTGCCTTTTTATGCACATTTGTCTCTATTATGTGTTATTCTTGTTATAATCATATTCAGAACAGCGTACAGAATGTGAACTCGATTAGTCATAATCTTGCATGGTTCTAAGATTAGACAGGTTGAAGTTTATCTGTGTAGGAGTGTCTTCGCTGCCTCCACATTCACAGACGGACTGTGATTTTTGACAGTTTGCTCTAAGGAGACATTATTTATAGAAATCTCTATCATGGTGCTGCTCTGGGCAATTTTTCTTTCTGATATTAATTTTTTTTTTTTTACATTAGATATGATTGATTTTACAGATTATACTTTGAGGACTAATCAAAGTTTTATAATCATTTCAAATATGGTTGAAGGGCTGAGCATAACTATACTCTTTATATTCACATTATTTTGTTTAATATTAGGTCAGTGTAAAAGCGAATGCAGATAGTTACAAATGTAAGTTTTAGTTTCAAAAAGAATGAAAATAAGTTGGTAATGAGCGGTTATGGACCTAAGTGGGCACAGGGGTTTTGTGAGGACTACAGAAGTTGCCATGGCAACTAACGGAGGCCCCAGCATGGGTTTCCTTTTATTGACAAAATGTTTATCTAATGTTTATCCACGTAAAAAGTACAATTCCCAACTTTTAATCTTCTACCATTTTCTATTTTTTGTTTGTAATAAGTGATGCATACTGCACGTTGGCATTGCTGCTTTAATATAATTAACATATTTTTTTGTTGTTTTTGTTGTTGGTGTTCATTTTTATTTGACTGGGTTTTGAAGTATTCTTTTTTTCCATCAATTTGGCGTCAGTCACGCATGTTATATCAATGTTGTCAACTCTATTTTTCTTTTACCAGAGAATACTGTAAAGTTTTTTTTTTGTTTAGGTTTGTTTGTTTTTTTCGCGTTTAGTACCATTTGTCTTGGATAGGGACCCGTAAAGAGAATAACCGCCTGTGATTGGTCGCTGCGTCAGAACTGTTCTGTGATTGGACAGATTAGTAAACGGAATCAGGGGCGGGCTGTACGACACCATTTTTCATAACCTTAATTTCGTATTTTTTTTCTCTGTTGTTTGATAATTTACTGTCAGTTAATTTTAATATAAAACCATGATTCAAAGAAGTAATTTCATCACAAACTTATAACATACTTTAATGAAGTGTTCCGTGACTTCTGTGGCCAAGCTAATGAAGCTAACTTCAATAGCTTAGCTGGCTAATTTTGCACTGGAATCACGTTAGTTAGCATTTGGCTATCAAAACGAGCACAGCAGTAACTCCAAGATACAAGGTAATTCTTGGAAAATTGAGTGCTTACTCGTTTTTTTCTGTGTTGTTTTAACAATTTTTTTAAACTAGAAGCTGTTAGCAAGACACCGACCGGTAGAGCTAATTCATACAACTTAGCCATAGAAACCTTAGCTTTCCAGTAATTTACTTCAAATGCGGTGTTCAGCTAATGACTGCATCTTAATGAATAGTGCAATGTTAATTTTAAATATATTGTGGTGCTTCCAGTTTTGTAAAACCTATAATGCAACATGAATCATAAAAGTTTATTAACTAGCACTCTTCTTTTCCTCATATACAAGTTGATGTTTGTATGAGCATTCTTAATATTTAGATAAACTAGTAATTTTTGCAGTAGTAAATTTCATTTCTATTCTGAAATGCACAACATCAATCATTTCCCATCATTTAGCTTAGACTTATTGGTTACTATTGGCAGCACTTGCATTTTGTTTTCATTTGAAATATGTAATACTGCATGCTTGATTTCAATAAATAATAATTGCGTTTTAATCACTCATGTCTTACACTGCAAGCTGAGAAGAGATTGTTGTACTTTGAGAATATGTAACTTAATAAGACAAGTAATTTAAAGCATATATCTTGACAAGTATGAGCAAGATAATCTGGCATCAGAAATATAAATATACACAATACCAATAAGTCTCTAGTTTTTTGCCCCATCTGCTCCTTTACAGTATGAGCTGCCCTCCCACCAAGCGTCTCCGAGGCCAGAACCAGGATGTAGTGACAGCAGTTGCCTTCAACGACACTTTTGGAGATGATGATGAGTTCACCCAGGCGGACTTGGATGAAATAGACATCATCGCCTCACAGGCCATAACTTCGGCAGGGCCAGAGACCAAACCAGTAACCAAACCGAGCCAGCCAGCCCACGAGTCACACCGGGCAGTGTCTGCAGGACCGAGCAAACCACTGAGCAGAGCCGAACCCAGTCAGACCAGAGAAAGCACATTTGGAGTGAAAAGAGGAAACGCTGGTCTTGGTGAGTTCAGTGGAGAATAGGTTATTTACTCAAGTCAAATATATTTTCATGACTGGACATTATTTATTTAAACTAACTTGTATCTCATCTGCTCAATATCCACAACTGTGTTTTCAAGCTCTATTTGATTTGATTTTAAGACAAATAAATGTAGTTATTATTAGTGAACAAAAACATGCATGTTAGGCTCCTTCAGGCCCAGGTCTCCCTTGCAAAAGAGATCTGTGATCTCAATGGGATTTGCCTGGTTAAATAAAGGTTAATAATAAATAAATAATAAGTTATTGTACTTATTAAGGCAGTGCCTTACATTAAAATGAGTGCATGTTATTCAAATGAAATAAAAACTTTGTAAACTACCATTACATGTATAAACAAACAGATGACCAAGTGAATGAAGTTAATCAATGACTGTTACTGTGTTGCAAAGTCATCATCCCTGTTTCTGTGTCAGGTAACCTGCAGCAGAAGTTTGGATCAGATGGCGAGGACTCTTTCAGACTCCTGGAGGCCCAGTATGCAGAGCTGAAGAAGAAGGTGAGCTTTACTTTACCCACAGAATCCACAACAGTAGAGCATTAGCATCCCAGCTTTCAAGGAAAGTGCTACCATAAAATATATTCTTCAAAAATATATTACGTTTAACTTCAAGTTTCTCACAATAATGTGTGCTGTCCCACATGTTCTATCTCTTTAGATCTTATTAGGTTGCTGTTGAGATATATAAAAAAGTATTTTTCCCTATATCTCCACTTTTCTTCATACAAACAATGTTCACATGAAAATGCAACGTAAGTTAGGTTGACATAATTGCAGTGTTCATTAACTATTTAAACTATTTCTTACCCATAAGCTGCTGTATTCATACCCTCTGCTCACAGCAGGCTCATGTTCAGATTGTTGTTTAATACACCTTATTTATATTATTATTGTGGGTGTATATCTTAGGTTCTTGTTTCTTTTTATACTTTATATATTTGCTATTCTTGGGTGTAACTGGGACCTTGAGTACACAATTTCGTTCCACCTCATGTGATACGTGATGTGGATGACAATAGTCTCCTTGAACCTTGAAAACACTGTGTAACCTAATTAAATTAACTGAAATCAGCTCAGCTTCATGATTGTCTCTAGAGAAAGCACTCCAAAGAGACAAACCATTTAAACCTAAAAGTTGTTTAGAGTTTATTAACCTTTGAAACGCTGTGGTTAATTACTTAAACAGTTGAAGAATATGGAAGTTTTTTCTTCCACAATCCGTACAACATTACCGAGTTTACCTGAGTGTTTTGTGTGTAATTAGTTGATGGAAGTTGAAGAAGAGATTCTGCTGAAGAGTGGGGAGATTCGGGTCCTGAGAGACTCTCTGAAAGCAGCTCAGCAGGAGAAGGAGGCTCAGAGACAGACCCAGGTCCTGCGGGAGACTCAGAGGCAGAAGGAGCAGAGTGAAAAGGAGAAGGAGCTCAACCGGAAGGTGATGACGACGCGAACACACACACAGTGCAGTTAATTTTTCACTGTAACTGACGTGCTTTCTGCTCGCAGGTTCAGTCTCTGCAGTCTGAGCTGCAGTTTAAAGAAGCAGAAATCATTGACATGAAGACCAAACTTCTCAATTCAGACAAAACTAAGATGCCCTCTCCGGTGGCTAGAAACAGGTCGGTTAAGCTCGTCAGTCATAACAGCATGTTTGTTTCGTCTTGTTTAGCTGCAGACTTCTCCCGTTCCCTGGTTGGTTGGTTTGCTCTGTAAAAACTGATCACATCTGGATCTTTGAACATAACTGTGTCACGTGATCTTATCGAAGATCTAATTTTAAACTCGGCAAACTGATCAAATTTTACAGGGTTAGTGAAACGGCTACAAGTTAGGGGAGTGGTGGCACAGAGGTTAGAGAAGATGGGCCTGTGATTGGAAGGTTGCCAGTTCAACTCCCTGGACTGACAACATCAAAATGTGGGTGGGAAAGGTGAAACACCTGCACCTGCCTCCACCTTCATTTGCCCCCCTCTGGGCCCTTAACCCTCATCATCTGCTCCCACGGGTGCCCTATATGGCAGCTCTCTGCCCCACACAGAGGGCTGTGGTAGCTCAGTGATCTGGTTGCATCAGAATGGGCATCCAGTGTAAAATCCATTGCCAGCTTTTTGTGCAAGTTAGTTTGCTGTGGCGACCCCTGAGGAAGGGAGCAGCCGAAAGAAGAAGGGATAAAAGTGAAACATCTACATGTTGTGGGTATTTGTTGAATAAGAAATGAAAAGGCAGCTCTTTGTTTGTCTTTATAATTTCTGTTCCTCTCTTTACTAAACTTGTCTTTCTATCTTTTCAGTCCAAACGTGCTCAGCACTTTAGCCCAGGTGCATCATGGGAGCGGCAGCTCCTCTTCCTCTCCGGTAGGAAATGGTTTCATCACCAAGGAGACGTTTGGAGGCCAGATATCATCCAGAACAACGCCGATGAAAACCCCACTGAAGGCACGCAGAGATGGTCGGTCACAGAATGACATCATAAAGATGGCGGCTGCTTCTGAGACAGATGACTGACACTTTTGTTTAATTTCTACCAACAGTTAAACTCTGCATGTGCGTTGTGTGTTTCAGCAGACAGAGGAGCATCCAGCAGCAGGTCAGGTGAAGGTTCTGATCCAGACCCCTTCCTGGCTGTCTGTCCTGCACACTTACAGGCAGAGCACAGAGGTAGGTCGCTAAATGGAACCTCAAATGGGTTCAGATGAATTTTTAACTTGTACCTATAAACTGACTTGAGAAATTCAGCAGATTTTAGAGCATGTGATATGGAACTGGTGTTTATGCTCTGCCAACCAGCATGGATCGTTATTTTGTGTTCGACTCCTCAAAGGACAGCCTGTAGTTGTACAACCAAATGTCTTTTCATCCGGTGTTTATTCAATTAGACTAAAGAAACTGTAACTTCACAGCAAACGTCTAAGAAATTAAATGCCCTTGTACTTTATTTCCTTTTCTTTTTACGTCCTCCAGGTGGAGTTCTTCTTGGCTTGTTGTTGCAGCAACCACTCTCTCCTTACAGCCTTGGCCTTACTCACCTGCTGTCTATGAGTGGGACTAATTACAGGTACGCTTTACTGCAGCAGTGGCAGACTAATTTAACCAATAATTGGACTAAAAACCTGCCGACGTTACAGAAAAATCAGAATCAGCCACTGAGGGGCTAGCATCACGATAACTTTACAACAGGGTTGTAAACAACAGAAGCTTGACTTGATAAATGCAGGAATGTTCCCAGATAGCCTAGAGTTCGGCAAGGCAACTGAAGCAGTGCATTATGGGATCTGCAGTTTGATTATCATCAGCGCTTCATATCGCCGGGCCATTAATCACAATAAGAATAGATCTATATAAAATGATCTCGCGGGCTGGATATAATTGTAAGCTGGACCGGATTTGGCCCGTGGGCCTTGAGCTTGACACATATGCGACAAATCATTATAATATGACATGAAATCACACGTTACATCATTTACAATGTTTGGCCAAAACAACTATAAATCCATTTCCTCATAAAAAGATCTAGGTTTAAAACTCTGGCACAACAGGCAGCAAGGAAGCTAGGCCTTTAATTTCATGTAGTTTCATTTTTTTTTTTGTTCCGTTCATCACCTTTACTCACTCGTGCGTATTCAGGGTCAGAAGGATCTGGTGCTTATTTTTACTTGTTGGTCGGAAAGGCAGAATACGTCTTAGAAGACGTTTCCTGATCTTGTAGGAAGTTCTACACTGCTGTTCCGTCCATAAACACCATCTAAAGAAACAAATTTGCCACCAAAGACATATCAGTTAGAAATTATTTTGCAGGACGTGGAGTTTAACAAGTATTTGTATCTGAGGTAGCTCATAAGTGAGGAACACATCGTAGGGAAATGTGTAGCTCAGTATGTTGCCAGCTACACCTCAACTTGTGAACTGGGTCAAAAGTTAGGTTCACCCTGGGCGGACCACCTGTCACAAGACCAGACAACCATTCACGCTCGCATTCACATCTAGGAACAATTTGTAGAGTTGCCAATTAACCTAAGAGAACATGCTAACTCCTGGTTTTTATTTCGTCAGTTGTTAGTTGAACTTCCTGTGGCTCGCCTGAAACCGTTAGTCCAACTGATGTGTTGTTGTTTTTAATGTCACTTTGTGTTCAGTCAGCTGTGTACTGGCCTGCAGCTACACTCCGATCCTTCTGATGGAGCCAGTCCTGTTGGAGACCCCAGAGCAACCCTGAGTCTGGTCCAGAGCCTGGCTGCGACTGGACTCAACATGCTGAGTCAGAGCCGAGCAACAACTGCAGGCAGCAGCAGAAACATCAGGTAGATCCACCGACTCAGGCCTCTGCTGAACTGTTGACACAAACTGAAGAATCCACATCCCCATTACACAACTATAGATTTTTGTGGGCAACGGAGCCCTCTTGTGGTTTTATGTTGTAACAACAGCATTGAGTCGACCTGCTGTTATTAAAGACAAGAAATCCTTTGATAAATATGCAGATTGGTCACTGTTGGCACTTCTTCGGGTTAACATGTTCAGAAAATGGGCCATGTGGAAATGCTCATGTTAAAGAACTCTGCTTGTTTGTTTTGGATTTGGTATGTTAGTGCCATAATTTAGGGAAAATCTTTTCAAATGTGATCAATTATGAAGGTCAACATTTATCTAAGAACAAAGTAAAATTTTAGCTCTTTGTGTGCAGGTCATGTTCTGGGGCCGTTCTCCTCCTCCCCCTGTTGGACCTTCTCCTGTCTCAGCTGTGCCGAGCTCTGGACTCGCTCCGTTCATCCTCCACTGGCAGCGGAGGCTCAGACTCTACAGCTCCCACTTCACTCCCATCAGACCAAACTGTTTCGGGCTCTCCTGGGCTGGAGAGATGGGAGCAGACTGGTTTAACTGCGCTGTGGCTCCTTTATGTCCTTCTGGCCCACAGTGATGAGGTGATTCCACTACATCGAACACTTGGACTGAGATAACAAACAAACCTTTTTAGATCATATTCATGTGCCTGTGCATATTTAAAGTATTTTCATTGGATGACTTGTTTTTAATTAGTGTAAATATTTGTTCTCAGGTGGTGATGGCTGTGTTGTCACAGGAGAATCAGTCTACAGACAAGGTACATAAAGAAACATTCTTCATGGTATTTTAATCTCTTTCTGTCTTCACCTTCATTAATCCAGAAATAATTTATATCAACTATAAGCAGAACTACACAATATTTATGTTTATTTTAATATTTCGTTTTGGACTGGAGTATCTTAATTTGTTCGACCTCTGGTTGTAGACGAACCAGCCTTCTGCACACATGGGTCCCTGCTCCCAGAATGCTTTGCTTCAGTCCCTGCTGCGGTTGTGTGACATGCGGCTCTGCGGTAGCAGCTCACAAAAGGAGGCCCTTATCTGTAACGCGCTGAAGACACTGTGTGTCCTCATAAAAAGGACTCCGCACACACATTCTGACAGGTACGCTCGCTTCAGATTTGATCAGATGATTTAATCTTTTAAGTGCTTCGGTAAAAAACTATTAAGCTCTAATATTGTGCGAATCAGCCGCTGTGAGCTTGTAGCTTTATTAATTATACCTGTTTTGTCACCAACGTTTCCTTTCTCAGGTTGCAGTGTGTGTTGCAGGCGGTGGTGTTGTGTTTATCCTCGGATATTCCAGCGCAGGCACTTTCAGAGTGGGTGTCTGTTCTCGCAGCAGTGACTGACCATCAGAAACTGGCCGAGCAGCTCTGCTCTCAGCACGGTGAGTCGCTGCCTCTCTGTAGTTTGGCATCACATCCACCACATGGTGTTTGTCGCACGTCGGCAATATATCCATTCACCTACCTGTTTGGTCAAAGGATTACCGGTACTAAATCTTCTTTTCTTTAGATCCGTGTGTTTTCTTGAAGTTGTTCCAGTTCATCAGAACCCCACCAGACAACCAACCAGCTCACACGGACTTGATTCTGCTGCATCTGCAGGTAACATCTGTGAGCACTGAATAACAGCAGGTTGTTGGGAACACGTGAGAGACTTTTACTCTGCGGCTCTTTTCACGCTTCATGGACGGCCACCAGGTCATGCAGTTCTTGTGTCAGCAGACTGTTTTTTGCAGACTAGATTTAGTTGCACCATTATGAAAGAGTAAATTTTAGTCACTAAAAAGTTCCTGGAGAATCTTTGATGGGAACCGCCACATGGCAGTTGTTTTAAAATCTTGATTTGAATTCAGAATGAGTTGTGCATCGCTGTCAGGTACCACCACACCAAATTTCAGCTCATCTTTTTAAATTGCTGAGTTATCATGTTTTTTTCCCTTTTAGCTGAGGCGGCCATCTTGGATTTTTAATTTGCATTAGGAATGTATAATAACTCGCTCTCAGCTACGACCATACCAAATTTCAGCTCAATATCTCAAATAATTACTTAGTTATAGTCAATTATGAGTTTTCTGAGGTAGCTGTGGCAGCCATCTTGAACCAAAATGGCTCCAAAAGTTAACCAGTGTTTTGTCCAGAGACCTCTTCTCGCTCTACGTCATGTGACCTCACTGTGGCAGTTGGAGGCTGTGAGTTCTGTGATCGTTTTTCAATTAGAAAAACTGGTGCTTTTGTTTGCAAATTATGTTGCCACGGTAACTCAAAATGCCAATAAAGGTAATAGCACACATCATGGTGCCGAGCTGGTCGCTCTGATGTAAAATCTGTGGGGGTACACGTTGCTCTTCGGGCCGCATTAAAGTTCATAGACGAGCAAAACCCTTGTCAGGTGGATAATAATAGGTGGCTGCCTAAAAATATGTCAGAATAATATATTTATTTTTGGTCATGTTTTTGCTGAGAATGACTGAAATGACCATGTGGATGATTGTGCCACATTTAAAGTCTTGCAGGTGATGTTTTCCATAACTGTCCCCCCTCAGGTGGTGCATTTGTTGAACAGACTGACTCAGAGCACAAACAGCTGGACGAACTCTGTGCAGAACACCTGTCAGTGTTATGCGGAGGTAAAACGACCTCACGCTGCGTCGCGTCTCGCACGAAGAGAAACTTTTTCTAATTCTATACAGTAACCGGCTCCGTTTGTTTCACAGCTGGTTCAGACCACTGTGATTATTTTGCACCGTCAGTGGTTAGAGCTCCGTGGTTCTCAGGAGCCAGCAGAGTCGGCAGGTGAGTTGCATTTCAGCTTCACAGTAAAAGGTGGAAATTCTTGTCCAGTAAAACACCAGTTCAACGCTAAAGTCTTTATTGCTATCTTGCTATCTAATCCCCCCCAAGGTCTGGTGCTGGAGCAGAATTCCAGCTCGTGCACGCCGTGGTGGAGCAGCCATGCTGCGTCTCTGCTCAGAGAGTGTCTGCTGCTGCTGCACTGGCTGCTGCTGCATCATGGCAGCTTTTCAGAAAGCTGCAGGCCGCTGCTGCACATGTACGACCAGGTGATCCCTGCTGTACGGGAAACGCTACGGAAGATCCCTGAGCTGAGTGAGAGTGAAGGTACGTGCACATACACAGACGCACAAAACATACGCGCTTAGATCTTTAAAGAAAAAAGGATTGTGGGGTTGTTGGTCCACCTAATAAAGTAGATACAGTTTACGTAGAGTGGTTTGAGTTTCAAGGTTAATTAACTGGAACAGTTTTAACTAGAGAAATTGTATTTCCTGCGAAAGTGCAGTGTGAACACTTACTGTAGAAGAACTTGCTGAGAAATTGCTGAAATTAGCTAAAAGAAAACATGCTGAAATGTAGCTGAAGTGGAAGAACAAGTCTAAATTAGAAGAAACAGAAAGAACACGTTTGCTGAATTAAATAAGCAGAATTGAGCACAGAAATTAGCTAAAAAAGCTCAAATTAGCAACAACAAAAAATGGCTGAACAGTAGCTGAAAGGTGTCAAGATGCTTAAACTACTAGAAGGAAGCAGAAAGAGATAAAATTAGCTCAAACAGTGCAGAATTAACTGAAAAGCTAATATTAGCATAAAAACAGCTACCGGTAAATAGTAGCTGAAATAGTTTAAATTAGCATAACAAGCTGAAATAAGTAGAAAGAAGTTAATTAGGCTGAAAGTAGCAGAAATTACCACCATTTTTTTTTTTTTTATTTACCTGAAAACAGCTGGAATTAGCTAAAAAAAAATGCTAACAAGGTAGCTGAAAACATAAAAAGCTTAAATTAGCAGAATAAAGCAGAAAGATCACATGCTTGCCCAATTAGGCTGAAAGAAGCAGAAATGAGCACAAATAAGTTGAAATTAGCAATAAAACGAACAAAAACAAACCAGCCGAAAAGTAGCTAAAAAGGCAGAAAGAAGCTGAATTTACAAGGAAGTGGAGCGAGCACTTTGTGGAATTTGCTGAAAAAGCTAAAATTAGCATAAAAACAACTAAATAGCTGAAATGACTGAAACTAGCAGAAATAAGCTGAAAGGAGCACAACAAGCTGAAAGTAGCAGAAAGAATTTAGAAGAAGCACAAAATGTTGTAGATAGCAGAAAACAGCTGAAATTAGCTAAATAAAATCAAAAAAGTTTAAATTTGTAGAAAGAAGCTGAACCAGAACGGAATGTGAAAGGAGCAGTAAAAGGTTGTAAACAGATGTAAAAAGAGCTCAATTCATTTTCTATGAGAGAAAAAAAATGGCAGAAAAGGCTAAATATCTCAAAAGCCAAAGTCATAGCAGAATTGTTGTGAAAGAGCTGAACGTTTTGATGAAATAGCTTGAAAACTGCGGGACGAGAATCGCGCCGTAAAACGTATGGAAGAAAAATGGATCACAATAGAGTGAACTCTTCATAAACATCGAATTCACACAATAAACGGCTCCAAACCTGCGTTCCTTATTATTGCACGATTACAGAATACCAACTCTAAGCATCACTCGGTGAATGCTGTTCCAGGTAAAACTGTCAAAAACACATCAAGCTATTCTGATAAAACAATTACATCATTGATTTCTTCCCTTTTTGCACTTCCTGTCTTACCTGGATTGTTCCTGCGTTCATCAGTGCTGGCCTTGGAGGAAATCTGCCGCTCAGAGGGCGATGACACCGACATGGACACCGACGTCGACTCGTAGCTGGCTGCTACCGGAGTCCATCAGTGACAGGAGGGACGGTTTATAATCTGTTGATCAGATGTTTCAGACTGAGCTGAGGACAGAGTCTACCTCCGTAACACTGAAGTGAAAGTTTGAGAGATGCGATGGATCAGAGGTGACGTCTGACCCAAGCGAAGGACAGTAAAACATAAATCATTCCAATTTACGATGGATTAAACCAAACCATTTAAAGGTGAAAACAGGTTGTCGGTATTCATGATCACTTTTTATTTTATTTTTCTGTAGCATCTTTCATTTCTCATCTTCAGTGCCTGTCCACTCATGTTTTGGTTTTTGTCATTTCTTCGAACTTTACGACAGGTTTTAAAACCGCTGACACCAAATGGGAATCACGAGGCACTTTATGATCATTTTACTGACAATAAAAAAATAAGACATTCTGAATGATTTTGAAATTTGTTCTTATTGGAAACGTAGCTCGACTATATTCCGACATCTGTCAAATATAAAGCTTCTATATGTACCTACACTAAAAAGGTAAAAGGTTCAGACCTAATGTTACAAAGTTTTGTTTTAGTCTTGTGAATTTACCTGATAGAAAAAACTGCATATAAAATTTAAAACCAGACCCAGCTGACAATTTATTAACAGCTTAGATTTTATCCAAAAGTTAAAAGTGCAAAAAGAGTCGAATCCACATCAGTGTTATGTGATGCACGAGGACAACAGGAAATAAATGTGTTTGAAGACAACAACACTTTTCACTTTCTTTATTAGCAGTCAAAATAGAAACACACACACAAAAAAAATATTGTTAACAGGCTTCAGGTCTGATTCTGAAGCCTCAGTCAAAGGTGACAAACGATAAATAACTTCAGAGGTATCTCAAGATTAAAATCGCTTAAGTTGTAAACCTTCTGTTTGGTCACAGATCTGTTCTTCAGCTTTAAATGTTCCAAAGTTGCTCTGAAGTTCATGTGACGTGACAGAAACACTTCATTCTTCACCTTTCTGCGTTCGGTTTACGTCCAAGCAAAAATACTTTACAAGAATCTTAAAAGTATTCTTTAAATGTGCCATAAAAATAACAAGACGGGGGAAATGTTTTAATAGCTGTGATGTAAAAATTTAATGCTTGAAAAAAAAAATAAACATTTCTCTCTTTTAGTTTAAGATTTACTGACTGGGATCATCCAAGACTAAAGTATTTAAACTGATGTCGAATTACCGTAATTTCCGGTTTATAAGCCAATACTTTTTTCACACGCTTTGAACATCATGGTTTATACAATGCTGCAGCTAATTTATTTATTTATTTTTAACCAGCAGTGTTAGAATAAAACATTTACTATACGTATTTAATAAAAAGTTTTAAAAAAATCTTTCTGTGTAAATATCTCATGTTACAACGTGAACACCCGCAGCTTATAAACAAGCGCAGCCTATGTATGTACAAAATTATAATTTATTTTAAAATTTTCTGGGCGTGGCTTATATCCGGGTGCGCTCAATAGTCTGGAAATTACGATAATTAATCTCTGTAAAACTTCTCTCAGATTCTTATTATTTTCTTATTATTTTTATTCAAGTGCTCTCTGCTGGTGACTTTCCAAAATTATTATTTTCTTCTGCTAAATGCTGCAAAGATTAAAAAATGTAAACAAATTAAAACCATTTCAGCTGGTGCCTCCTTTAAAGTCTTAGTTTTTTTTTTTTATTATTTGGTGTTTTTTCTACTTTTTGCATTAAATTCCAACACGGCACTCGAGCTAATTCAATTTTCCATAAACACAATATTTAAAAACTGGTATCAACTTAAGTCACTCGGGAGTTTTTAACACCCATTAGCTGTCAGTGGAAGTACACAACAAATGTTTATGGGTAAAACTTATTTAAATGTTTATCAGTCACTTTGTGTTTTTAACTTTTGATGGGCTAAATTTCACTAAAACATCACAATGTGAGGATCTGCAGGAGATACAAATATGGAGGAGCAAAACCAAGGACTTTATAAGCATCAACTTTAAGCACAAGACTACCGGTACCTACGGTAAATAAAAAAATGGGCAAGTGTAAGAAAAGTACATTTACCATGAAGCTGCTCACAGTACTACTGAACATTTCTAAAGTTGAAGACATGCTCCTGAACACTCCTGTGTGGTAGTCATGTGTAAAAATGTATTACTTATGCAGCATCAATAATTCAGAGAGAGCAGGTTGACATCTCAAGAAGTTATCTGAGCCCCCGCCGTCTGAAAGAGACGAGACAACAACAAAAAAACGTGAAAGCTGCAAGAGGAAGGCACTTGAAGTTCAAGTAATCCAGGATTATACACTTGGTAGTGTTTGTCACTTCATGTAAAAGTACATTTGAGATAACAAATAGATCTTTGTGAGTTTTTACACCTTTATGGAGAAATGTTTCAGGCTTGAAGCAGGAATTAATCTTTTGTTCATAAATCGGGAGTCTACACTGCCTGCGCAAATAGTCAACTTTTAAAAGTTATTACGGAATATGGAATGCACAACTTGTGGCATAGATGTTACTATTTCAGAAGAGTCCAATCATGGAGCTGCACGAAGCGAACAGAACCTGGAGTTACCGAAACAACTAAAATTAGATTAAGAACTGCTCGACACATTATTAAAACCTTTGGATTATGGTGGGAAAACGTTAACCATGCTCAAGTAGTCGAGGAGAAAATCATTTTCTAAAAAGCGTCAACCACTTTGTAGCTTAACAGATTAAAAAAATAAACCATTGAAATTGGTTTGGAAGCATAAAACTGGATTTTGGAGCGATGGAAAAAGTTCCAGTGGTGTGACGAACATCACGATGCTCATGCTCAAAAAAAAAGATTGAACACTGTACACGAAACACGGTCCAATATTACGCGATTGGAACAGTAGGGCTACAGTAAAAAGTTAACGAAAAAATACTTCTGACAGATGCCGCCATTTTGTAGTTTTCTCTCAATAAGCCTACGCCGTATCGCCACTCAAAAGGACTGCATTTCCCAGAAGCCAACAGTGCTTCTAGCCGTTGCTTTCTGCTGAAACGAAGGAAAAGTTTTGATCTGATCCGAAAAAGTTCGGGTTTTATTCATAGTGACTTCGGCGCTCGGTGGATGCAGAAAGCCGTACCGAACCGACTGAGAATTGGACCAGAACCGGACTTCCTGCATCATCTGTCAATCTGAGCGCCGCTTGCCAGCGGGGAGGCGTAGCTTAGAGGTCCGGTGTTTTCTTCGGCACTCACCAGGACTTTTTAAAATCTGGATTTGGACTCGATCGGGACCATTGTGTGGTTTTGTTTGCAGAACGTAGCTACTGTGCAGTACACAAGTTGTTACAACTACGTAGGAGTTTAGAACATTGCAAGAGTGTGGGAAGGATTTATAAAGCCTTAAAATATACTTAAATACAAAAATAAATATAGTGTTTCTACTTTGTGTTTCACTTATTGTGGGGGTGTCATTTCTTTTTCCCATGGATTAGCCACCACCGATCGACCTTTACATTTTTTGTATTGTGCCCTAACAGTGCCATGTTCATCTTCAAGACTTCTTGTGTAAAAACATCACGTTGAATCAACTGATGCCACAGCTGATGTCACAACGAATGAAAGATTTGGTCCAATTAAACATTTAATATTGACTTTTTGTCAGGCAGTGCATCAGTGCAGGCTCTCACACACACACAAAAAAAACACCGTGTGTAAAGATGTTAGTGTTTTTCTGTCCATGTTGGCACCACTTGGTCATCATCCTCTTTGTTGTGCGTTGTGCTTTGGTTGTGTTGCGTCTTGTTTGCGTTGTGATGTTGCACAAGAGGATTGGTCAGCCAAGGGTGCATCAGCAGCTCTGACGCCGTCAGTCTCTCAGCAGGTTCCTTCCTCAGCATGCAGCCAATCAGACACCTCGCCTGTGACGACAGCCAGTTGGGCACACTGAACACCCCGCGGCGTATCTTTGCAAACAGGGCGGCGGGCTGCGTGTCCTGAAAAGGGTACCGTCCAATCAGCATGGTGTACAGAGACACGCCCAAGCTCCAGATGTCCGCAGCCCGACCCGAGTAAGACCTGTTCCCAGTGGTCAGCAGCTCAGGACCAACGTAGGCGGGACAGCCGTGCCTGTCCGTTAGAAAATCGTCATCAGGGTTACCGTGCAGAAGCACGCTGTCGTTCAGGCCAAGCAGGGCCAGACGAGTCCTGGGGGGGGTAGAAAAAAAAAAACAAAATGACTTTTTCTTCCAATGAAGCTCCAGTGCTGGTAAAAATAATACAACAATTTGGAAGAAGTATTGATAGAGTGTACTAATCTGGCGTATTAGCTCAGTGGTTCACAAAGCTGGGGTTGGTGCACCGATTGCAGCTTTCTGGACGATCAATGATCTCTAAAAAGTCTGACCAGCCGATTCCGATTTTGGTCAATTCTGATTTTGTTTTATAAGCGACGCTGTCGGGTGATATAAGGTCACAATGCACCTTCAATTTTCCAATCTTATTTTATTGAAAAACATACCCAGAAACAATACAAACTTGTTTTAACTGGCCGTGAGGTAGTGCTCTGAAATATAAATGAAGTTTAGACAATCGTTGTTAAAACTACAAAAACACCGGTTTCTCATTTAAGTATCGGCCGATCTCCCAAAATTAAGGAAATCGGGTGCGCCCCTACTGTGGACCATTATGTGGGGGGTCTCATGCAGATCTTTAAAAACCACATTTGAAAATGATTGCCAGTAGCTAATTTAGCTCCAACTGCTAGAATGAGATGAAAACGGCTAAAATAAGCTAAAACCAATCAAATGGTTTACAAAGCGTATTGCAAAGACTGTTAACTGTAACCAGCAGTAACTGGGCTCACGAGTCTCTGGAACTTTTATTTCAAAGGAGTTACATGCGGAAAAGTTTGGGAAGCACTGTTTGGAGTATCCATGGTATTTTCAGTACCATCAATAACTCAGTTTTGCAGTATAAGTATTTCATTTAGCTGTTTTTGTTTTTATAAGCTCACTTGAACCAGTGACATCACCTCAACAACTCATTTGTTTTTGTCTCTACCACAGTATAAAGTGTAACAATATCACCGGTGTATGTCCGTGAAGACAAGCCTGAAGTTTTACAGCATCATTAAATTCTGGATTACTTGTGTAGTACACAGAGTTACTGGTGCTACAATCAGAGCACCTGTCTCTGAGTCTCACCTGTATTTGTCTTTGAAGACGAAGCGCCGGAGCTTGAGGTCTCTCAGGATGACTCCTTGGTGGTGGCAGTGAGCCACGGCGTTCAGCATTTGAGCAAACAGACGCCCCGCCTCCTCTTCGTCCAGACGTTTTCTGCTGCGCACGTACGCGTGCATGTTGCCATAATGGCTGGGCAGGAAGACGTACACTTTGTCTCGAGCGATGACCACGTCCTGCAGTCCGCAGATGTTTTCGTGTTTACTGACGCGACTGTAGGCTGCCAAACGTTCCTGGTAACCACGCAGAGGGAGTACCTGTAACCATGACGACACAGAAGTACTGTGACTGCCTTCAAAGTCTGTGTGAATACATTTGACCAGTGGCAATACTTTAGTATGTGCTCTGGGCTGTCCTGTATCAGCCTTATTCTACGTACCTGGCAGGTGTACTGCTCCTGCGTGCTCGCATGCACAGCCCTATACGTCTCCTCCTCCTCACAGCTTTCATGAAGGAGGTACGGTCCGACTCTGGACGGGGACTGGCTCGGGTTGGATTTGGGGACAGAGTTTGTCGGCTTGAGGTACGCCGATAAGCCGTTGGAGGGAGGAGGCGGGTCCAAACGAGCCTGTTTACATTTTGGTAAATGGTCTTGAGGTTCCGCCAACAGCCTCTTCAGACACTGCTGACTCCTGGTGGTGGCCACGCCCATACTCATCTGTGACCGGAGAAGATGGGAAACATCAGGAGAGGGTTAACGCATGGATGCATGCATTTCATTTCAGTTTTGTTCTACCTGAAAAACACAAGCACTATACTCGATATGGACAGACGAAGCCTTTTTTTTTTTGAGAAAACGCTTTAGAACATGAGCTAAAGAGGAGAGCACCCTGTGCTCCAGCATCAACGTGTGCAGCCCTGCAGAGAGTGGTGAAGGCTGCACAGAAGACTTGGAGTCAGCCTCCCCACCTTCACAAACATCTACACCTCTAGATGCAGGAAGAGTGCCACCTGCATCATGAAGGACCCCACTCACCCAGCACACACATTTTTTTTTACCCGTTCCCCTCAGGCAGAAGGTTGCAGAGCATTAAGTGTACAACCACTAGCCTGAGGAACAGCTTCTACCCTGACGCTGTTAGACTCTTCAGAAAAATCACTGTATTGCCACTTTAATTGGTGATATGGCACTTTATCCATGCTGCTGATTTCTTACCTGCTATATTCACACCCATCTGCTCACAAAAGACTCATGTTCAGGCTGCTGTTTCGTACACCTTATTTATATTATATTATTGCGTTTAGCATTTATCTTAGATCCTTATATACCGTTTCTTTTTATATTTTATATGTGTGCTATTTTGGGGTGTAACTGGGACCTTGAGTACACAATTTTGTTCCACCTCATGTACCACATGTGATGCAAATGACACTAAAGAACCTTGAACCTAAAGCAACACTTTAAAAAGGTAAATCTATTCAAGTTAATGCCTCATAATCTGCTAATGTGCGCAACGTTTCTGTCTTTTATAAGCTGCATATTTAGCTTGACGTAATAAAATATATCAGTAAAAAAAAATAAAAAAAAAACTATTAAACGAACGACTCGGTTTTAACTGGCGTGCAAAAATCCACAAATAACTTGACTGTAACGAATAAAAAAAGGATGTGTAAAAACTGGTGTCGCGCAAAATGAGCTGAATTTGGTTCTTCTCTGCTGCAGCGCCCTCTGCAGGTGGAACTCTCCACCACCACCACCACCCACTCAGCCTCCTCCTTCAACAAAGCCCTCTTCAGCAACATTCTCAAATTAAGTAAAAAGATGTATTAGGATCAAATCAAACTGTGTTCTGCACCCCTGCTGCTTACAAGTAACACGGTGGGCGTCTATAGGCTTCCTGATGCAACTTCCTGTAAGCTGACAGGAGCTACAGCTTTCAGATTGTTGCATCACAGCACAACAGTTTATAGTTTAAAAAGGCTTTAAACACAGTCAACACCTACACACACACACACTGTGAGTGTGTGTGATTGGGGTTTTATATGAGTTGCGGTCACCCTGGCGCTTTCCCTCCTGCTGAAGCATCCTGAGTCACTGTGTCACCATGGCAACGTGGTCCACCCTCACACACACAACGACTGTGACTCGTCTGAAACATCCGATTGTGAAAGTGCAGCCCAGAAATAAAAGTGATGCAGAAATCCTCCCAGAGCTGACTCTCGAGTTATTTAGAAAACAAAAACCGAGACTTCTCCGAAACTTCCCATGATGCTCCTCTGACTCAGCTGGTATTGAATCGAATCAGACCGTGTTGGGAAACGAGGAGTTTTGAAACTAAATCGACCTCTGGTGCAAAAAAGTTAGCATGAGAAGCTTTTTTTTTTTTTTTAGTTTTACCAAAGACAAATACAATTTGCGATCTGTAAACAAAAAAAACAACTTCCTGAACAGTTTAACGTTCAAGATGATCTCGTGTGCTGTTGATCCTTTTTACTGTTTAACTAGAAAACAACGCTGGTGTAAGACCACACAGTCCGAGGGCTTTTTGTTGCATCAGAAACTTTGTGATGCAACTTAAAAGACGTATTAAACTGTGATATTGTGTGAACTTTAGACAAATTGCAATAATGATCCATGCAAATAAAGCTGCCTTTGTTTATTTCGTGTATTGCGATACTCAAAGGGATTTTGAAAGTTGTGTTTTTATTACACCAGTTACACCAGTAGGATTTCACTTTTATTTTCTGCCTGCAAGTTGACAGTAAAACACAGATTCTAGCCTTTTACTATAACATACTAAGAAAAAATTAATTATTATCGAAAAGTTTGATAAAATGTGAACAAACCATTAATTGTTTACATTCTGACTAAGTGACTGAAATAATTTATTTTTCAAGCTATGAAACTAAATGTATTGTTAAAAAAGTGGGAATATAAACTGTTGTATAGGCAAATATAAAAACTTATTATTCTCAAATCCATTTAACACTCAAGCTAATGGAATTGTGCTTTAATTATTTAATCTTAAGGTACATTTATTAAAGTAAAGCTTTTAAAGAGCTCCTTGGTAAAAGACATTAAAAGGCACAAACTAATTCCACATCTTTAAAGCAGCAAACCATCTGCTTGATAATGTCAAAAAACAAATAATTGGAGTTGAAATAAAAAATAATTGAGTCTTTCTGTTTAAAATATATATTCAGCACTAATTTCCATTAAAAACCATCTAATAAATAAAGAATAAATTATCTCAACATGTTATAAATAAATTAAGTAATCGGAAAACCTAATTATCCACATAATGACGTGGCGCTTTTCATCTTAATGAGCATTTATAATAACTTTTTTATTAATTATTTTATCATAAATAGATTTTTTTTTTTTAATCCTGAGCTGTTCTCAGGTCAGTTTCTTACCTTTAAATAAACGGACTGGTCCGGATTGCAGGGTCACAGGAAACCAGTAGAAACCCAGTCCAGTCTAGCCGAGCTGAAGGTCCGGTTCTGTTGGAGCAGCAGAGTTCGGTTCACTGGGACCAGTCTCTGAGGTGCTGGGAGGACTGGCGATGACGTAGGCGCCTCGTTTTCCCTTCTTCGGTTGCGCAACCGCACGTCCGTCCGTCAGCTGGTGGTTTTTGGAGTCTTCCTCTTTAATGTGGCTTCAGATCAAACTCAAGTTGTTTCTCTGGTCATAAATCGAGAGAAACAACCTGTGGAGTGAAACTAAAACTGAAACCCGTTCTTCTTTGGTGGGATATCCGGAGCTGAAGCGAACAGAGTCGGTCTGCGAGTTAAAATTAAAATAATAAAAGTGAACAACGTCGGAGTGTCTGGTTCATTCCGCTCTCTGGTTTCTGCTGACCCTGCTGCGGCCACTGGTGCTGGACTCTCCAGAACTTTCAGCCCGGACTGAGGAGACTCAGACCCGCTCCGTTTGGTTTGGTTCTTTCCTCTCGCCGTGACGTCACTGAGAGTGGGCGGGGCCTGGATGTTGCAATCGGGAGCAGGTCGGTCGTCAGACTCAAGCGGAGCGAGACGTACCTCACGTACTTCCGCTGAGGGTCGGAACGTGGGATTCTCGTGAACCAACTCACGAGCTAAAAATACACGTCACCTCACATTCTCACACACGAACATACGTTCGGATTAAAAAATGTATATATTTTGTGTGACAGCCAGGGGCACCACCACAGGAGGAGCAAGGGGGGCAATGGCCACCCTTACATATATAATTTTTTATTCAACCTTTATTTATACAGGTTAATCCCACTGAGCCTCAGGGACTCATTTAAAGCGAGACCTGATTTCTTTAACAAAGAGTGATGACAACAGTGGATAACAACGACAACAATAGACGTTCATTAAAAGAGGCATACATATTTTTTTCCCTTAAATTAAAATAAACCAAAAGGGCAGCTGAAAGGAAAAAGTAGCAAAGAACTCCAGCTAGATTATAAGGTGGTGTAGAACACTAACAACAGGAACATGTCTGCTTTGGTTCTTGCCAGGAACAGATGTTTAAAGCCACTTAGAGAGGTCAAGGTCGAGAGCTTCAGATCTTTATTGAATATATTCCAGGAAACGGGAGCGGAGTAGAAGAAGGCCCTTTTTGCCTCGTTCAGTCCACACTGAGGGGACACTGCAGGTAATAATGTCCTGAGAGCGCACGCTGTAGCTGCACTCACATAGAGACATGTAGGAGGAGATGTATGAATGCAGCAGACCAAGAAGTGATTTAAAGATCAGTCAGAGTCAGGGTTTCTTTATTGTCATTCGCGCCTCATGTGGTGGAGTGAAATTATGTACACAGGGTCCCAGTTACATCCAACAATAAAATGTAAAAGAAAAACAATAATAACATCTAAGATATGAACTAAGAAAAACATCAACTAAATGTACACTAAGCACTCATAAAAACATTACGTCGAACATCAGCACAAACATGAACATGAGTCTGTGTGAGCAGATGAGCACGCATGAACACATCAACATTTAAACAGATCAGCAGCAACATGAAACAGATCAGCAGCAACATGATGTGATTTTTTTCACAGTGATTATTCTAGTTAGAGATTCATGAGTCTAACAGCCTCAGGGTAGAAGCTGTTCCTCAGTCTAGTGGTTCTACACTTAATGCTCCTTAACCTCCTTCCTGAGGGGAGTGGGGCAAAAAGTGTGTGTGCTGGGTGAGTGGGGTCCTTCATGATGCAGGTGGCCCTCTTCCTGCATCTGGAGGTGTAGATATCTGTGATGGTGGGGAGGCTGATTCCGACAGACTTCTGTGCAGCCTTCACCACTCTCTGCAAAGCTTTTCTTTCTGCAGCTGTGCAGCCTCCATGCCACACGTTGATGCTGGAGCACAGGATGCTCTCCACTGCACACCTGTAGAAGGAGGTGAGGACTGAGCTTCCCAGACCAGCTCGTCTCAGCCGTCTGAGGAAGTAGAGTCTCTGATTTGCTTTCTTGATCAGGCTGGTGGTGTTGTTGCTCCAGCTGAGGTTGTCATTCATGTGTACACCCAAGTACTTGTAGCTGGAGACCACTTCCACTGCAGATCCTCTTATGTTCAGGGGGGTGTAGATGTTTTTGTTCCTTCTGAAGTCCACACTCATCTCCTTTGTTTTCTTCACATTGATGTGAAGGTTAATCTCTTTGCACCAGCTCTCCAGGTGTTCCACCTCTTGCCTGTAGCTGGACTCATCATTGTTTGTGATGCATCCCACCACCACTGTATCATCTGCAACCTTTGCAATATGACAGCCTGGATGGGTAGCTGCACAATCATACATGAGCAGAGTAAACAGGAGGGGGCTCAACACACATCCCTGAGGAGAGCCAGTGCTGAGGGTTATGGTGGAGGAGGAGAGGTTGTGGATCCTCACTAACTGTGGTCTGTTTGTTAAAAAGTCTAGTACCCAGTTGCAAATGGAGGGGCTTAGTCCTAGTGTGGATAGTTTGTCCATCAGGGTTTGGGGGATCATGGTGTTGAAGGCGGATGTGAAGTCCACAAAGAGCATACGGACGTAAGAGTTTTTCTGCTCCAGGTGGTTGAACCACAGAGGAGATTGCATCCTCTGTTGATCGGTTCTCACGGTATGCGTACTGATGAGGGTCCTCGTTGATGTTGATGGTTGTTTTGATGCGAGTCAGGACCAGTTTTTCAAAGCATTTAGCGACTATCGGGGTGAGGGCCACTGGCCGATAGTCATTCAGACCAGTCACTGAAGAGCTTTTTGGGACTGGGATGATGGTGGCAGTCTTCAGGCCGGTGGGAACTGTCTCCAGGATAAGTGAGGTGTTAAAGATGTCTGCCAGCACCTCGCAGAGCTGATCGGCACATTCCTTCAACACTTTTCCGGGGATGTTGTCTGGGCCGGTTAAAGATGAAAATGTACCAGTGAGAGAGTCTGCGTGAAGTTAATGATGTCCAGTTGACCAGTTATTATAGTTATAAATATGTTGAAATTTACCCCGTCCCCCAATTCTCCCACTAATGGGGGATTCAATCACAATTCCCCAAGCTATATAAAAAAAAATACTGTTTTCTAACAATTAGTGGTTAAAAAAAAAAGAACATTTTACATAAATAAACTGTAAAAGTCTTCCTGAATAAAGACAACAGGTGCAAGCTGAAGATGAAATTTTAATTGAATATTTGATGCAGAAAGCCAATGTCTCATTCTCAGGAAGTTAATTGCTCTCAGTAATTTCAGGGAAGCACCCGGTCAGTTTATAGGTTGATTAATGTATTCTCCATTTTATAATCTGAACTCAACCACTGATGTGAAATTAATGAATTGCAGTGGACTCTACATGTTAACCAAATCAGGAGAAGATCAAAATAACAAATAAAACATAAGGGAGACCGGAGGACCCAGGTTGTAGATTTTTTTTTATAAATTTATGACAAAGAAATGTCAAGCAGATTATCTCAGGGATGCAGCAGCAGAATCTGTCTCCTGTAAGATTGTCTTAAGTTTATCAGCAGGAAAGAGCGAGGTCACCAGTTTTATCCTGACATTAAGGTCATATCACTTTAAGAACAATATGACCTGCATCAAACTGAACAGATACGCACCATACATGACAATTCTATAATTCTTCTTACAGAGGTGACTATTGCTCCTCACTCCTGCCTGTAGCAACACTTCATTGTACATCTATAATGAAAAAATGTTTAAAAAAAATCACAAAAAATAATTAAACAACTGTACTATTTCATAATCAGGACCATTTTAATGAGGAGCATTACTTTGTGTCTGGAAATATAACATTTGTTTTAGTTGTGTCAGCAGCGGTGCAGTAGCTCAGCGGTCATTTAACCCTGAGGCTGCGGGTTTGAGCTCAGGTTGTGTCAGAAAGGTCGTCCAGCTTAAAACAGTAACTAAATCTTTCATGCGAGTTCGCTGTCTAAGGTAACCCCTGCAGAAGGGAGCAGCTGAAAGAAAAACAGTTACACCGGCATCTTATTTTAAATTAATAATTAAGGCGACATGTGACGGTACATCTGCACAGAAACAAAAATATATAGTTTAGTTTATTACTTTTTGAATATATATATAAAAAAAACAAAAAAAAACAGCATGAATAATGTCAAAACTTTTTGTTTTACATATTCAAGGGAGTGGGTAGAAGTATAAACTTATCACAATTCCCACTCCTTAATCACTTATTTTACATTTATTACATGTATTACTCATACATATACCAACTAAACCCATATTTAACCCATCAATATAGTATCTATTTAATTTTATTTCTTTAACGTCACAAAAAAAAAACTAGCATAAACAATAATTGAATAATAATGTTACATATTATATCCAGCAGTAATCATATGTTTATATGATAATTTGAACCGTTTTATGTTTGGACATTGTCTAAGTTCAGGTTTCAGATTATTCCACAGTTTGACTCCACTTACTGATACACAAAAGTTTTTTCTGGTACTTCTGAATTTGCATATTTCCCCCCCTTAACTTATAAATGTGCTCCTTAGTCTTAAACAGGTTTTGAATGTTTTCCGGTAATTGTTTATTTTTGGCTTTGTAAAGAATTAGAGCTGTCTTTAGTTTCACTATACCAATGAACTTTAATTAATTAATTTAGATGTTACAAATAGTGTATTAGTGCTTTCTAAATATCCCACCTTATGGATTATTCTTATTGCTGTTTTTGTAGTATTGTTAATGCCTGTAGTGTAGTTTTGTAATTATCGCCCCAGATTTCTGCACAATAACTTAAATAAGGTAAGATTAGCAAACAGTAGAGTACATCTAAATATTAAATAAGAAAGAATTAATAAAAATCTCACACACAAAAAGAAAAGACTTGTGAAGAAACTTATGTTGGTTCCAGGAAAGGAAAACACTCGATAGACGTGAAGTCAGCAACATGTTAATAGAGTTTTTGTGGGTACAAGAACACGTTTGTGTACTGAACATGAGTTATCGCTCTGTTTAAAACTTAAAAAAGATTAAATATTTTCTAAAATTAGACACGTTTGCTTTGATTCTGTCATTTTATGATGTTGTCATGTGGCAGTGACACGACTGTCCAGGACCTCTGTTCCTCATTTATATAGAAATCATCAATAAAATGTATTAAAAACATGCACATTTACTTTTATTGTTGTTTTGACTCTGTAAATCAAGTGCACCGACTGGCACGTATTGTTCGTAGCTCCTCTAAGAACTCTCCTCCTTCATGTTCTTGCATTTAGGGAAATAAATCGAGTTTACTGGATTCAGTTGAGAAGTCTTGGTGAGGAGAGTCGGTTTAGTTCAGTGCAATTCCGTTTTCTTATACGGCACCAATTCACAACAAGTCACCTCAGGGCACGTTACAAAAACAGGCGCCACTTTATGGCTCCCCAGGCTCCCCTTGTAGATGGATAATAAATAGTTTATATACGTTATCAATTCCTCTATAAACACTTTATAAATCATTAATAACTGCTCATT